AAATAAATAGTACTAATCATAAGATAAAATTATGCTTTCCACGGAACTCTTGTAATCAATCAAATGATTACACACACACAAACACACACGAAAGTACATCGAAAAGTGACATAAACAGTCTAGTGACCGCTTTCTGAAGTGACATCAAAAAACAATAAATCTACAAAAACAGCACTTATAAACAAATTCAGCTAAATTCAGGTTCATCTCACTCAATGATTGTTTTGTCGTAATGAAGAAAAAAATCGTCACATGATACAAAATGAAGCGTTTCAAAATAAATCTCACAGATTCAGATGCTCGTCGAATCGCCTCCTGATGAGCACTCTCCACAATGCACGTCACCGGACTCTCGGCCCGACGTGCTCCACCTCTTACAACACCCTCATTATTGTGAAGCAAAATTGCAGATGCCACTGAGCGCTGTGGTGCACTGCACTCATCCAGTGACGATGTTGGCAAATTCATTTGTGATGCGGAACTATTCCCCATTTCCGAATTCTACAAGAAGAAAAAAGCTATTCATCAACTAAATGAATATACGATTAATTTCAAATTTCAAACAAATAATAATTAGACAACTCATCAGACTCTCTATTTCTCAAATACAAACAAAAATAATCACTACGTTCCAGTTATGCTTTCCAGGCCAATGTATGCATTCGCTGAGTTAATCATTACTTATATACGTCAAAAAACACCAAATTAGATATTACTATAAGATAATATCACTTCATTATCCGTTCATTCAAAACAAAACAGTTGAGTTCGGTCGTTCATAGCAACTGATCTATTCTCACTGATTTATTCCCACCATTTGAATTTAATTTGTTTTCACGACAAATTCAAAAGCGACGGGGAAATAACTTCACAAATGGAAGATGTGCAATACTTACGTAACGTAAATCTGCCGAGTGAGGTTGAGGTATACGAGCCGGCTCAACGGGTGCACCCACCATGATATAGTCACCTTTCGGCTGATTACCACTGAACTGCGGCTGGTGGGAGCGTTGGGGTGATGATTGTTGACGTTGACGTTGAGCTAATGCTGCGCTGGCATAGGATGCAGTGGAGAGTTTACGAGGTGACGATACTTTATAAACATTCATCTGCAATGAGACATTCTTTTACTGCCACACTCATAATGAATGCGCACTGAACCTCAAAACTTATAGATATTTATAACATTTCAGACATAACATTCATAAAATTTTGGACCAAACATTTATAACATTTTAAGACATTTATAACATCAATTGCAAAATGATCAACGATGAGAATTTGCATTGATATGCGAACCCCTCAAAACTGAACCATTCTGGACTAGAAAACAAACAAAATTAATGATTAATCAAATTTGAAAATAAAACAAACAAATAGTTACCGGACTATCCAGCACATCTTCGTGTGAGTCTGGCCTTGGCCGTCCACGTACATGTTGCGCTTAAATTCAAATTCATCATGGTTCATTATACTGTCATCGAATCAACAAATAACAAAATTTAATCCCAATGACTTTCCACTGTTTCACCTCACACAATTTCCGACTCTAAAGCAACGAACTAGCCGCGAATCGCAAATTTCGGTGATATACACGATATTCCGCGCAAGAGGGGATTACCCATTCTCGCGAGCATTATCCTACCCGATAGAAAGCTCGAGTAACTTCGTTCTCATCTATAATAACTCTCATAAGATCAACAAACGCCAGTGCCCTAATCATACGCTTCAATTACCCACTGCAAATTCAATTCAATTACCCAAAACAATTACAATACTTCAATTTCTCTTTGTTGCGATTACGCAACAAAC